GGCTCTGATGCGTGCTCTTGGCTCGTGGGGGTCGGTAAGGACGCCGGGCTGGAAGGGGAGGGGGGGGGGGGGAGTCGCGAAACCTCGAACTTAAAACTTACACTCACTATTTTCTTCGAAAATATATGTGAGTTCCACAAAATAATTTTTATTTTTTTATTATAATGCACATAATTTGCTTATTAATTGTTTTTCTCAGACCATGTATCGAAGTTACGCCACAGTATCTATTTATGATAAATGAAAAGTATGAAATTATCTAGTTGGAGTAGCATTTTCCTGTTTATTTATTTTATATTTGAATTATCAAAATTTAAATTTAAATTTAAATGAAGGTTGTGGGCGTCCTTGTAAGTTAGAGAGAGTCTTCTATTCAATTACACCAACGGTCACTTCCAATTAGCTGAAATTCTGGCTTTATCTAAAAATTCATCAGGTCAAAAATTCAAATCTGACTTTATTATTGACTTCTGCTCTTGACTTATCTCACATAACGTAGCTAATTATTTGTTTGTCAGACGCTCTTCATTTATTAGCTTGAAGGTAAATAAAAACGAAATTTTACCAAACAAAGACCATGTTTATTGTTTCTTATCAACACATAAATCACTCATTCCATTGTCAGGGATAAAAATAAATAATGCAAGATTAAAGAAAAAAGCAAAAGAACAATTGCCCACCGAAAATAAGTAGCTGGTAATTTCTAAAAAGGGTTTCTGTTAAAAAACAAAGTGATCGACTACTTGTAGTCGTTCAAGAAAATCACAGCCATGTATCATTATCTCTTGTTGTATGATGGCAATCATTATATAAATGCCAATATTTAAGATTGTGCCAAAGAGAATTGGAAAATTAATCATGATCACCGGCTACAGATGGACAATATATGTTTTTCTTAGCTGACGCCAATGATGATCTCGTCGTTACATCGTTGTTAAACTGTGCAAAATTCAAATTAACATATGTAGATATTCTTTCTGATTGATTATCAATACTTTCGTATTGCGTTAATTTTCCCAGAGCTAGATAAAAAGATATCAATTTCATTTTTCAATAGATCTCTGGGAGTATTCTGAGATAGTCGAATATGTGCAAAAATGTGTATTCCAGTATTTCGTCTGTATTAGAACGCAAAATAAAAACAAAACAAAATGTTTTCATATCTTAAGAATTATAAATAAATTTTCATTGTTGCAGTCATCGTAAATTTGCCACCTTGCATTTCATTCCTTTGGAATCTGTTTTGAACATCTAATAAACAGCTTGTTAGAGCCAGAGCGTGGAGACTGAAACATGAAACTCATCTATTCGACATGACTTAGAATACTTAACAACATTTACTACTAATTACTAAGATGTGTAATGAAAAGGGTGAGCCACAACACTTTGATTTAAACTTACACACACTATTTTCTTCTAATTTACATATGACCTGTACAAAATGACCTACCCTCATTTATTCGATTAGTTCGTCTTAAATATTCTTCTACACAACGATTTACTAACATATATTGATCCTATAAAGAAATAAATGTGTATTATTGATATGAATACCAAGTTAATAGTTACCCTAGTTTGTACCATTTTCCCTCTATCTTGTCTAAGTTGATAAACAATACCCATAACATCAAGTTTCATTGTTGATAAATCATTCTTTAATCGATCAATCAAACGCATTATCATATCTACTGCAATATATGTACCTGTTCGTCCAACACCGGCGCTAAAATAAAAAGACACATAAATGAGTTTTTTAATTTTTATTGATACGAATTTCGAACCTGCAGTGAACAACAGTAGGTATTAATAAAGCTTCTTTAGCTTTTCCAATCAAATCAAATTGGTTTCGACCATGGTTATTAATATATTTAATAAGTTCAATTAATTTTTGTGGTTCAACAACACTGAAATCTGACCAACCAATAAAATAATAATGATATATATGACATTCATTGGTATCCTTAAAAAGAATAAATCCTATTTAAAAATTCAACAAAAATAAAAAATAAAAATCACATCTTTGATAATTAAACGACGAATTTCAAGATCAATATCTGCTTGATATTCAATATTTATCATTTTAACAGATATTCTATTAAACCTTAATGTCTCTGTTCTGTTTTCAGGAAAATAACGATAACATTTTGACTAAAATAAAATATGAAAGTAAGAATAGGTTTGCTTTTATTCTTCTTAAGAATACTAATGATTACTAATATTTGCGAAGAATTATGAAGACTTCGTTCTTCTAGTTTCGTTAGCATGACAATTTTCTTTATACCATATTGAATAATCATTTCCCAAAAATCTTCACAAGTTTTTTCTAATGGACCTTGACAAGCTATATATTGTTTTTCATTATATAAACCCTTTTTTTTAAAAAGTAGACATTGGTTTAAATGTTTTAGATTTATATAAATTACTTTAATTTCATTTGCATTGATATAATCATACTGACGATGAGAGCCATGTAATCGAACAGCAGTTGACTCCCCTGCAATAACATAGAAATCATACTTTTTAAAAAGTCCACTTTACATACAAGGTCCTCGAGCAGTAATATTAGCATATCGATCATAAGTGGCATATTCGGATTCATATTCTGACTGACGATATTGTATAGAGTTCCTTTCCAATTCCTATGCATAATTGTCAATTGTTGAATATATTTATGGATACAATAAAATATATACCAGTCTTACTATATTAGTCATAAGTTTTTCATTTTTCATTCTATAGAGTTATCTTTTTTTCAAAAGATTCTACATCACATATTAGCTGTCTGACAAGCTTGAATTGTGTTTGAACGTAACTTCAGTAAATTACGAGAGCATTTTCAGCTGGAATATCATTACGAAACATATTTTTTGTGTATGTCTATCAATTTTTAGAAGATAGAAAAAGCTACATTTGTCAAATGAAATATCCTATTTCATAGAAACTTGAACGAAGAATATTTCGATAGAATCAAAATTGAAAAAGAAAATGATGGCTAGTATAGTGAGATCGTTATTTATTCTATCACATTCGTTAAATGATCTTTTTACTGACTTGATATTCGGCATATATTTCTTTTTCGTCTTCATCTGTCATATTAATATATTTCGCAAGTGGTTTTGGTCTAAATAATAATAAATGATATGACTTCCAAGGATTAGTTTGTACAAGAAAAATAGACGAAAGGAGATTTAACAGCAACTTCCTCCTCATAGATTCTAACCATGACCAAGAACTTACTTCTTCTCTGGAATTATATATATTGACGATAATGATATTGACGATTCACTATAGTAATACATAGATAAATTTAGAAAACTTTGACATTTTTGTAGAAAACGAAAGATTTATTTCAGTTTACTGTAAAGTTGCTGGAAGGCTAAAATGGACTTCATCATAAGAATAAAAATGAATTTCAATAATATTTTTACCCATTCTTCTCTCTAGATTTCCTGTTGAACCGTTGTTTAATTGATTCCCGTTTCCATATAGTTACAGTAACAACAACAGCAATGACCAAAAATGGAAATACTGCAACCCATGCTTTCGATGATCCAGGTTTATCGGGTGACAGTGGTGGGCCTTTATTTATGTACAATTAATTCTAATAGGAACAAATAATACTTACGTTGTGTTCTAAATTCCTTGGAAAGTACATAAGTACAACCAGCACTTGTACAACCACCCAACAGTATTCTATGCATTTTTATTTTCAAATATAAAATCGAAGGAGCAAAAAACAAATGATTAAACATACTTATAACATGTTGAAGATTTTAATGGACCATTACATGCCTTAAATTTTACAGACTCTTTCAAACATTCTGTTTGATTACCGAGTAATATACTGATATTTCTGTCATTGTTCTTTACTACACTAGGTGACAATAAAGCTACGTTGTAATGTTTCTTTCATGAAAATGAATATGTTTTAACATACATTATACTATTCTTTTGCTACTTACCGCTTGTTTTTGAAAATCTTATTGGAATCTCAAGAGCCAAATAATCGAGCGATGCGTTATCTTGAGCATCAATATACGTTCCAATCAAAACTACTTCTGACATATTGTTGTTTCGATCTACATGATTATAAATCATTCATATTTTTAATATGTATATTAACAGAAATGGCTTGACACTTAAAACTTTGGAAGGAGGGAGGGTGAAAAAATGTTTTTGTCCAAAGTGCTGTATAGAGTCCATCCCGACTGATTAAAGTTTTTTGGACTCAAGTCCGATCGGTTCAGTATTTTAGACCCGAGCCTAATGGTAACTATGATCCATTTCAAAATGAAAGAAAGACATCTATTTTAGGGATAACTTTCAATAGAAACAGAATAGGGATCTAGAATTTTCACCATTTTAAAGACCAGATGAAACCACGTCGAATTATATATACTAGATTTTTCTGTCAATTTTTCTGAGATTCTATCATCAAGTTTGTCAAAACAAAATATTATTTAGCGTAAAAGTTTTAGGATTTTAATTTTTTAGATGTTCACTAGAATAATTAACTAAAAACCTTTAACCTTTTGGATAGCGTTGTCTTCAGGCTGAAGACAAGCAGAACAAAAGAATTTTTTTGCGTTCTGTTGTATTGATAGACAGCTGATAACATAGAGCAAATATATAGAGGATAGTTTATATGTAATAGGCTATATCACATGTATACAGCTGATTGGCCATGACTGAACGCAAGAGAAAATTATTTTCTAATTTTTCTGTATCTTCGTACAGAACGCAAGAATTTGGCGAGATCCATGAGGTTAATTATGTATATTCAATATTGTAAGGTGTAGTCAATCACATACATGTCAAACCTGAAAGTTGAATTCAATTATTGAATAGTTGGTGTTTCAATTATTCAATTATTCAATAGTTGGTTTTTCAATTATTCAATTATTCCTTTTTCTGGAAGTCATGAGTCGT